ATAATGGGTTGACTAAATCGCAGTCGGGCAGAGTCTCTGGATTCAATTTCTTAATCTCTACTATCTTCCCCGTCTTCCGGTACCAACCCATATTTATATGGTCGGTAGTCCGCTTATGTAAATTAGGTGTATCATACACAACAATTATATTTCCTACTAATCATTTATTGTAAAAGAAAAAAAATCTCATGAGACCATAAGCATTTTAAATAGATGAAGACCTTTGTAATGTATGACCTGTACTTTTGAGTGCATATTTTTTTTTTATTTCTTTAAGGAATGGGCGACCAGCAATCCCTCCATTGAGTCTAACGGAACTGTTTTTTTTTTTGCCAATCAATCCGAGCTCTGGAATTATCGATGTCCTCGTGTATCTCATTATTTAGAGTTCCATTTCAAGATCCTTGTATTTTGACAATGTTTTAAAGATCTTCAAAGATATATTATAATATGTAGGTACTTTCATGTTAATAAAAAATATTATTATTATTATTATTATTATTATTTGACTTATGACTGGCAACGATGCATTCTACAAAAAATAGCTCATCAACCCTTTCCGCAGACTTCCTGGCCAATAAATGCGGGTCTGATGCAAAATCTACGCCAGGCACTCTCTCATTGGTGTACTAGCGCGTCAGTTAGACAAAAAAGAACGAAATTATGCATATTTTCACCACTGAATTTCTCGGAAATATGTATCAGATTTTGCTTGAAACTTGTCAGGTCAATCGCGAAAATACTTAGGAAGACTCTCTTAGATAATTCAATGAGCAAAGCCGAAATATAATGCCGATACTGTCCCTTCAAAATTAACCACTCAAAGTTGTGTTCTTGAAGAGTAGAATCTGTAACAATGTTCAATGCATGTCGGTTGTAAGCAAAGAAAATATAGAGCTGACGCTAAAAATTTGTATATTCCAGTTTATGGCTGAAAAGTATCTTCTCATGTTGAATACCTGGGAACTTCAACTTTTGAAAAAACTTCGTTTAATTTAACGCATCTTATATGTTTGCAGGTCTTCCTAAACTTCATATCCCTGTGATATTTGGATTTTCTTAAATAAAAAAGGATATTCAGAATATGGACGAGATTATTAAAAACGAAGAAATGCAGATGATGTTAATCCCTAAAGCGGTTTTTACTGACTGTTTTGAAAATTAAAACAAACAGAATATGTGGAATCTCGAGAGGATTAATCTGAAGCGCCATTTCTTTAGGTAGGCACTTTTTTCCGCTAATGTTAAATAGTTGACTTATTTACGGTAATATGTCGTCTATATTCGTTATTTGCATTTTTATAGGTTACAATGTTGTTTTTGTTATTAGTAAATAAGACGATTCCGTTGTAAATGATTTCAAATCGACTACCATTATTCTTTGTAAATACGGAAATGTTTCCGCTTTTTTCTCTGTTACAAATCTATCTCGCTATGCAGCTGCTTTGAAATAAGATGAACTGCAAAACAAAAGGCTCTTTAAATACAAAACGCAAACGAATGATACACAAATAAAAACTATTTATGAAAGTGATTTAAACAGTTCCTTAGATCCAACTTCAAAGAGATAAAGAGTATTTGTGCAAATACTTTCAGATTGCAAACATCTGTTTTTTAATGGGAACAAAACAAGAGAAAATAGGAATCAATTAGAAATCATGATTTTTTATTCTTTGAAAGTAACAATGATCCGCCAAAGACTTAGGTGGTATATTACAGCAGTTGACTGACGCCAGACCACATGAAAGGAATTGGCAGTAATATATTTGACTAGAAGAATTATTTCAGGACAAGCGGAGAAGAATGCATCTGTCAAGAGTGATGTACAGAATATGTGAAATGAAACATACATGTAATGATAACAGACATCAAAGGTTTCTCTTAATATAAATGATTATTATTTAGTGTCTGGTCAGTTGAAAACTAAGAGGACAATTCGATATTTCTCATTAAAACAATTTTTGTTTCTTGTTTGAACTCACGTTAAAATCAATAGATGCATATCTTTATCCGCTAACAATTTATGTCTGTAAAACTACGCCTGCCTCTTCAGTTTTAATATTTCAGCTGCTCATTGCAAAATGCATCAAGAATAAAACATTTAACCGTATATGATTACAAAAGATATGTACAGTAAAAAACATTTAACCGTATATGATTACAAAAGATATGTACAGAAATGTGCTAAAAATAATTATTAATGCATTATTTTTCATTTGATAGTAAATAAATGAGGAACACACACACACAAACACACACTCTCACGAACACAGAGAGAGATATATATATATATATATATATATATATATATATATATATATATATATATATTTAGTCAGCAATTTTTCATTAATGCATGTTTCATTAAATTATATTGACAAGTTTTGTATATTTATTTTAAGTAAGTTCCTTTCATATTGTCTGATAAGCTTAATCACATTATCGTTGAAAGAAGAAAGGAAAACACCATATTGATACATGTTTAAATCCAATCTAAGCTTTCGGCTTACACAAGCCATTATCAAAGATAACAATTTCAATGAATCAAACAACACACGGACGAAACAACAATGATTGTTCGTCCTTGCTGCATGAAAATTCCCAAGTAACGAAACACTCGCATATACGAGACGCTGAAGCGAAAATCGCGTCACAGCTCGTGACATCACACATGATCAGGCGAGAGCGAAAAACGAGAAGTATTAAGTATGGAAGCCGTTGGCGTAAACCAATGGCTTCTATTACAAATTATAGGCATTTTAGGATATTTGTGGAGATTTCATAGTTTATTTTGTTCAGATTAGGTTTCAACTGCTTTATATATAAAGCTTCAAGAATTTTAAATTTTTGTTTATTGTTTTTATATTTAATGTATTATAATTTTCTTTTACAAAAATATGATTCCATCGCGACACAGAAATTTCTGTTTCAAAACTGAAACTAAAATTGTAAGTTTAATAATAAACATTAAGTTTAAACTCCAGTATTTCTTTCGATTGTCACGAGATGGTAAGAATAACTTTATAAAAAATTTACTTAATTTATAAGCACAGACAATTTTAATATTTTGAGTTGTTATGGTTAAGAAAATTCATTCTATTTTGATTAGCGGTGGTTGGGTTGTAATTTCCCTAGACATCTTATGTATCAATAAAATGGAACATCGGATTATAAATCTTACTTTTCTTATTATTTTAATATTTATACATACTTACATGCATACATATATATATATATATATATATATATATATATATATATATATATATATAATTGAACAAAAAAAAAATATTAAAAAAATTAAAATCTTCAGACACACTGGGTTGTAGATTAATATTCTTTCGTTTTTTTTTATTATTATTTCATTTAGATTCCTCGACTAGTTTCGGTCAAAATGGCCATCATCGGGAGGAGAAATATTTCTGCTTGCTGGTAGCAGTAAAGTACAGAAATGAATGTCTTGCTGGAGAAAATGAACTTTTTGCATATGTTTTCATATATATACATATATATGGAAAAATTTTATCCAATTTTTTATATATAGAACAAAAGCATTTTAGGGGAAACAAGTATTAAAATGTTGAAAAGGCAAGACGTGTTTCGTTATTTAGGACTTCATCGGACTAACATATCTTTTACGTTAATGCGACTACACATGCGCACAAAGAAATTTAATTTAATGTATGTTTTGGGCGTACAATTTAACGAATATCATTCTTTTCTTTTGTTTATGTCTGTGTTACTTTTTCTAATCAATATCCCGTATGTAATAACTTATAAGAAATTGAACGCAAGTTTTAAAACGCTGTAAGAACCTGGACGGAAAATTGTTGATCTTGGGATTAAAGCATTCCCTAAACATTTTTTCTTAGTAAACAACATTCTCTTTTCATGAGAGTAGTGTGTGTGTGTGTGTGTGTGTGTGTGTGTGTGTGTGTGTGTGTGTGTGTGTGTGTGTGTGTGTGTGTAACGAATGCACGGCCGCAATTTTCGACGGATTTGCCCCAAAATGTATATGCACATGCTCCAAGTTAGCGTGAAGCCCAAGACCGACATTGCATTTCCCAACTCCCATCGAAAAAGTGTGTGAAAAAGTATTTGTTTTTAACATTCTTTTTTCATTCGATTTTTACAGTTACGAGTCCTTTTTTTAAAGCTGATCGTTTTGTGTTCATTTTGTTTAGTTCTTTTTTCGTAACAGATTTAATGTTTAGTATAGAGCTTAGAAAAAATTCGCAGTGTGAGATAGGCAAGAAGTAAGGCATGTAGCAACATCAGCATGGCAAAGGGAACTGCTTTAAAGGCAAGGAAGGGCAAAAATATTTTAAGTCAAGTGATAGCGATTGCTGTATGAGTCGTACGATTTTTGAATCAAGCACGGGCAACGCCGGGCCATGCTGCTAGTGTGTTCATATATTTTATCAACATTCCCTGATATTTCTCCTATATGATACTTGTGGCAGTTATTACAGGTGATGGAGCGAATTCTTCCTTTATGTTTTAGCTATATATTTGGTTTTGTATTAATAAAACCATTATTGTTTTTGAAGTAGTTGTGACAAATTTTATGTTGAGCTTAGATAAATTCATTACAGTTTTAGTTGTGAAATATTGTTAGGAAGAACGATATATTTTGATACGTTCGATTTGTCAGGAAGGGCAGCTTTGCATTCAATAAGAAATAATTAGGCTATTTGTTAAGTAAATGCTTGCGTCTACAAAATCTGAGTGGTCCGATGATTATTCCAGATTTAATTACGTTGTTATAGGCACGTGGCTTAAAAGTTCGCTTTAGGACCATGAGTTCGAATCTCACTATGGTCGATATGTCAGAAAGTTGACTTTTTCATGTTATCGGTCAGGAGGAGACGATCTCACGTGCAGCACATTTGGGAAGTGCCTGAAATGCATACCCCACGATTTGAACAAAGCCTTATGATTGAAATTTGGTAGACGGAAATATTTGGGAGCCGTCCATCGTTTTGCTAGCAGGAAGTCACGTGTGTTTGAGCGTAATAGATACACATTGAAATCAGAACAGTGATAGATAGATTGATAGATAGACATTGATTTAATGATAGTGATAGATAGATAGATAGATAGATAGATAGATAGACATTGATATCATAATATAGATAGATAGATAGACAGATAGATAGATAGATAGATAGATAGATAGATAGATAGATAGATAGCCACTGATATAAGAACAGTGATACATATATATATATATATATATATATATATATATATAGATAGATAGATAGATAGATAGATAGATAGATATTGATATGGGGAACACTGATAGATAGATAGATAGATAGATAGATAGATAGATAGAAAGATAGATAGATAGATAATGGAATGAGAACACAGATAGATAGATAGATAGATAGATAGATAGATAGATAGATAGATATGAACAGAATGAGTGATAAGTAGAATGTATATATCCATGAGCATAAAGAGATTAAAATTATTGATATAATCCTTGCAATTTTTAAGGTGTTTTTAAGGCCTTTTTTTTTCATATCATGTTTCCGAAGAATAATAGTACCATTTTCTAATCGATTCGCTGGAAAATTGTCCACATATAATTAATGTATGATTTTCTGACAGATAATCTAATTGGGTTGGTTTTAATTTCGTCCCATTAAATATTTATAGATAAAAGAAATGGATTACTTCATTTATATTCAGTTTCGCCCTGTCGATTAATTCAATTGTGCTCGTTGTTCATTCGTAAAACAATCAAATTTGAATATTTATTGGCTTTCGCTTTCAAAATCAATGACGACCATGTTGTCTGACTTGGGGAGAAAATTTGAAAGCTGACAGATTTTGAAACTGAGATCCCGTTTCGTTGCAAATCTCAAATATTAGCGAAATTGAGATATGTGAAATATTTAACAATCAGCTCGTCGATCTTGCAAGTAATTGGATTTTTTTTCCGATTGAGTTAATCTTTAATCGATGCGTTTTTTTTTTATTTGAAATACTGGAAAAAAGTCTTTTTATCTATTTAACGATCTATCGTCTTCACTTATATTATCCATATTCTTGATTTTTTTTTTCAGCTGTGTGAATTTTTATCCCTCTCTATATCCATCTAAGTGAATACTTTATCTATAAATCTCCCTCAATAAAACTTTATCAATTTTTTCGTCTATATATTCATAAATACAGACAACAATTATTTTTTTAAGTTCCATGTCGACATTCGAATTTTCAAAAGATTCTTCATCCTAGATTCGATCTTATGGCGTGTCTGTTTCTTAGAATGGATTTAATTTTACTGTTGTTTTTTGTATTTTTTTTCTTGTGGTATTTATTATTCTCTTGTATGATAAGTGCTATATAATATTATCCGACACCAACATAAACTGACTCCATCATGATTTTTTTAGGATGGCAAAGTGATTGTGCTACTTTTGCCAAAATGAACCGAGGAAAACTCCATGCCCACAGCTATTTGTTCAAATGAACTTTGTTTAATGCAAATAATAAATTTACACAGGACTGTATATTATTCTTGTATTTGAGAATAAATTATATTTTTTAAATGATTCATGAAGTCAGCGAGAAAGTTGTGAACATAGAAAAATATTCTCAGTTATCGAGAATTAATTTATACTATATCTTCACTGGATCAAGAGCGATAACATGAAACTGGAATTCAAAGTCTGTTACGCCCTAAAAGAATACTTGACTATTAAATTAAGAGAAGCTAATGTGTTAAATATTCACTAAAATGAATACCCTAATGTTCGTAAGATACATTCGCTAAGCAATGCTCATCTTTCTATTCTCATGCTTATTTCGAGGTTGTGTCTTGTTTATATTTATCGTTCCGTAGTTGTTCTCATTCTTCTTTCTTACTTTGTTTCTTTGTTTCTTTCTTTCTATCACAGTCATTTCATTATCTCTCTCTCTCTCTATCTATCTATCTATCTATCTATCTATCTATCTATCTAATTAAATTCCGAGCTATCTACAGGGAGCGATGCGTAAACTGTCGCCATTTTATTTTTTTAATTTCGAGCATGCGCGTTGTTTTTTTTTTTTTTTTTTTTGTTTTTTTCCTCGTCGACGATACAGAATGGTAGTCTCAGTTGGACACCGTCTGTGAGAATAAGAGCATCAGGACACAATTCAATCTGTCCGAAATTTGGAAAAAAGCATGCTGTACTGCATAGCATTCGCATCGAGCATTTCAGAGATCGTCCAGAATAGGTGCAGGAGATTCTAAGTCATCTGGAGGCCGTGGTTGAAGCCAATGGCGATTTTATTGAATAACTTTCGTCTTAAAAAATATTATTGCGCAATTTTGTAACTGTATCTGTTAAATTGAGATAACAGTGTTATTTTCATTTTTGCGTAATGTAGACGATAATTTATCCAGCGCCCCTATATATATATATATATATATATATATATATGTGTGTGTGTGTGTGTGTGTGTGTGTGTGTGTGTGTGTGTGTGTGTGTGCAGATATTTAGA